GCAGCCCGTTCCGCGTGGGGCTGTACACGGGCGAGATCAGCACGACGCGCGCCCTGGACGAGGCGGACGCGCCGCGCCAGCGCCTGCTGGTGCTGGTGAAGGACCACGGCGAGCCGGCGCTCACGGCCACGGCCACCGTGCTGCTGTCGCTGGTGGAGAGCGGCGTGGCGCCCAAGGCGGCGTCGCGCGCGTCGGAGGGCGCGGCGGGCGCGCGCCTGGCGCTGGTGGACGTCAACGTGTACCTGATCGTCGCCATCTGCGCCGTGTCCAGCCTGCTGGTGCTGACGCTGCTGCTGTACGTGGCGCTGCGCTGCTCGGCGCCGGCCCGCGAGGGCGCGTGCGCGCCCGGGAAGCCCGCGCTGGTGTGCTCCAGCGCCGTGGGGAGCTGGTCGTGCTCGCAGCAGAGGCGGCCGCGGGTGTGCTCGGGAGAAGGGCCGCCCAAGGCTGACCTCATGGCCTTCAGCCCCAGCCTGCCTCCAAATCTGGATAGAGAAATGGGAAATGAAAGGCCAGAGATAACATCAAATCATCCTGGGCAGGTGAGTTGTATAGATTCCCCTCTTTTGAAGCTTATGTTGTCTTTGAAAAATGCGTATTATTTACATAAAATTATTAATGAATATCCTATTTTCAGTATGGTTTTAAAAATTAATGGTTGTTCTGTCGAAGTATACATACATCCTGTATCAGTCATATGAAGACTCAAGGTTTTCTAGCAATAAATATCCAGCTCTCCCAATATTACATTGCCGTATTATGAGACTCAAGAATGACCTTTTTGTCATAACTTTTTTGGAAATACTTTCAAATAGTCACTGATCTTTATATGTGTGTTCATTTCATGTCTAATCCTCTACATTGTAGGTAGTCACTGTGGATTATTAAAATCCACTCATCCTCTTTACATTTTAACTGCTCTTGCCTGGATATTTTATATCACTTAGTTTTTCTTACTTTATCAAATATTGAACACTATCATCATTATGTCTGAAACTAGTTATTTTTTTCAGTGGTGGTAAGCATTCATCATATCTTAATCACATATTGAGTAATCTTTAGTTTCACCTCTGTTGAGATAAACCCATTTGTATATACTGCAGATGAATACTACAGCTTTGCACGCTAGTGTACTGCCTTTTTGGGAAATAATATGAATGAAGTCTGCCCATTTTAAATTTTGTTTCATAAAATGGGTAGAAATCTATCGACTACATCCTCATGTAGAATGCCCAGATTCATGCTTCCAAAGTAAACTAGACAAAGTTATTCATATTACTCGGTCAAATCATTCAAACTTGCTGAGGTTACTCATATAGGCTCATCATATCTGTAATATATGCTAGTTTATATTCTTCCCTAAGTTTTGTGGATACATTAGAAAGGAAAAAATTAACTGTTGAGCAAAGTCTATTGGCAGTTTCAGTTGTTTTCTTCTCATTTAAAATTTTCTATCTGTAAATGCTTCATCTCTAAAGTTAATAAAATTTTGTTTTCATGTGGTTTAATCACATGTAATTAAAGATCCTTTACTTCTATGTCATTCCTACAATTCCATTGACCTTTTTGAAAATCTGATGAGAGTAACATGTGGCCATTTCCTCTTCAGATTATGTGATTTTCCTTTCAGCAGGAAGCCATTATGAACTGGGATCATGAACATTTTACCTCAATATTAATTGACTATAAACATTCCAAAGTAGTCATCTAGAGAGAAATACAAAACATTTCAGACTGAATTGTGATAAAATTATCATATCATATGAAACTTTGTAAATATAACCAATTTGAATATTAAACAGGCACACTTTACTCAAGAAAGACTGAAGATCTTTTGAACTTAATCAGCAATGATATTGGAAGGTTTTAAGTAGTGGTTAAAATTTTAGACATAATTTTTACAGTATCCAGTAGTCAATGTACATTTTAGGTTATTCTAGGTCACCTAATTTCTGCCTGTGTAGTGTCTTTTATAGGTATTATTAATTTCAGCATTACAGCCTGTTGTATAGATTTACAAATAAACCTATTTTCTAGCTTAAGTATTAAGTTAAATTTATATTTTCTTTCTGTCAAATAATTGGATTATGTCTAACAGTGTGTGAGGATGACAGTACATACTATCATTTCACTAAAGTCCTTTAGTCCTTTGGTACACTGACTAATTTTGGAAATGGAAGCTAGAAAATGAAAAGAAAACTTTGTGGTGATAGTAGACAGCTTCAATAGTCTATTGGCATCAAAATCGAAATGTCTTTGATTATTTAAGAATAATTTAAGTTATCTTATATCTTATACTTGTATCATATACAAAGTAACAATTTTTGGTTATTCTTTTGTAGTTCAGGAAAGATTTTGTGTTCCATTTCTAGTTATTTTATAAGTAATTGGAGTAGTGACATTATTGGTTTAAATATTTTGACTTGTTTTCATAGGCTTATAAATTCTACATTTGTTTGCAATTAGCTGTGAGATCTTATCTGTTTTATTTCCTTTTAAAGCTAGTTTCTGGTTAATGAGCACAATCATGAAAGTCTTGGTTTTCTCTTGCATCTTAGTCACTATTCTGACTTTCTGTAGAAGCAGATTCTGAGTATTTACAAGGTTGTCTGAAGGGGAGATTTAGAAAAAAATCAAAAGTTCATCCAATATCATATTATTTTGACTTCAGTGAGATTGAGTTCCAAATTATTTCACAAGTTCTTTTTCAAGTTAGTGCTCACTGCAGTTTAGAATATTATGAAGTTTGGAAGCTGCAACTCAATATTCTATATGAACACGCTTTATTCCTGCTGAAGTAAAACTTTTTAGAATCTGTACCCAACATTTCCTTTTAACAAGGTATGGGGGTGTGTGTGAAAGTATCTGTATGAAAAGTGATCTCACCTGAGCACCAGGAGCCAAAGTCAGTGTCACCTATATTTTGTGATAAATTCCAATAGTCATAGACTTATGAATACAAAATTTAGTTAATAGAAGCATTTATTTTCCTTTACAAAAAAAAGGGAATCCTTGATGTCCTCTGAAGTCAGACAGTGGAGTTTCTCTGAAGAATAAAAGCCATTAAAAGTGAATTGTGGCCCTCCCTGGTGGCGCAGCGGGTTAAAGCACAGCACTGAGAATCTGAAGCACTTGCGTATGAGTTCGATTCCCGCCTGCCGCCTGCCCCGGAGGAGACCACATGGCGAGCCAGACCTCTCCTGACCCGCC